AGAAAGAATGGACAAAGTTAACACCATTTACATCTTCTTTGGGGGAAAAAAAAAAAAAAAGCCAAAGCATCTTACAAAATTTGAAGTAACTTAAATAATGACAAAGTCGAATCTGTCAAAAAAAATCTGTGGCTCTAGAAGGCAGAGGAAAAGGACGGACAACGAAATATTTGAAACAGGTTCCGGCCCATAGGAAGCATCAGTTTAAGTTAGCACAGTATCAGGGTGTTCTCACCCTTCTTCCCACACAACTTTCAGTATGTCTTGCAAAACACCTTGAAAATCATTTTTGAAAAGCATGAACAGACATTACTAATTCCAGCCAGTCAGCAACTAAGCCATTAAAGTAACTTTTACATTCTGCTAATTCTGCCAGTGCAGATCAGAGCATAGTTCTACCTATATTTTGTTCAAATATCTGTGTCTTGAGTTCATAAACGCAATGGCATTTGGGCTATTTCTACGTTACTGATGAAACAGTATTAAAAGATTTATGCTTAACAGCATTGAATTGTACTCCCAATGAAATATGTACCCCCCCATGAATAAACATTTATAATCTGCCTACAGAATGAATTACGATTATTTTCTGCCTGCAACTGCACTCTCCACTACAGCTACAGTTTTCAGCAAGACAACTCACAACAGTAAATATGAACTAGTAACTCTGAAGTCTAGTGACAAATGTTTACTGTTTGTCCTAATCCATGCTGCTTTTACAGCTGCTTTCTTTGCTTGAAATGCTGAGATGGAAAATAAAAAGGTCGTGATTCCTTCCCCCAGGCCTCATCTCATTTATGTGGATCCTCCTGTCAGGGCCTTGAGTGCACTTCCATCACCCTAGGGGTTTAGCTGCCAGAAGGGCTCCATAAGGAGAAAGACGCATCTTGAAACCACCATCGAGCTCTGCTTCCCTTCTTATGCCAAAAATCCTAAATTCCCAATATCTAATAACCCTTTTATCTGTGCCTTCCTAATGGCATCTTCCCAGCTAGGGACCTGTCTATGCATGAAGATCCTAAAGGAGGTCTCCATATAAATATCCCACGACCAGTTGCACTGGCTGCAGCATTTGTTTCACAGCCAACTACAAGCTCAAGTCTCTACCCAGGATCACAAACCACAGTAGTTCTTCCTGGCCATAAAAGCTTCTCAACTGAAATTGTAATTTTCTTGGAAGCTTTGGGATCGTTTCAATACAAGTTCACCATAACCAGTGACGAGCAGCTCAGCTGACCATCACGCACTATCTTTGTACTCCAGAAAGATCAATGCAGCAGTGGTAGAACTCAGATCTCCTGGAAAGCCTGCTGTGGGTGGAATGACCAAGGGCTCACTAACCCAGCAGGCCACTCTCACTGAGCACTTTCGGCACAAACAAATAACATACAGTAATGGCTCCGTGCCACCTGTGTTCAGTGCGGATTAGACTCTTTTAGTGCTTGGGATTTTCCAATGACGAGTCCAAAGTCATCTTCTGCAGACCTGATTTCTACACATCGGTCTTGAATGACTGCCAACTGTCTATGGCTGTGACAAAGGGCATAGTCTCACAGTATCTGAATGAATAAAGGAGAGCGGGTGTACTGACAGTGATCAGGGTCAGCCAACCGTCCAGTGGTTGCTGAACAAGGCCACAGTGAAGAGGCACACCAAGCTAGGTGGTCAACACACCAGGATCCAGATCAGCGAGGTACGTGGCTGGACAACCATGTAGCTGCAACCTGGCTGGAGCAACAACCAAGGCCAAGGGCCTAAGCTTAAAGACAACTCCTGAGTGAAAGGGGAACCCTGATAAGACTTCTCACAGCTCTTTCCACAGCAGTCTGACTCAAGATTACATGGCTGCACCATATCCAAGATGACCTTCAACACAAGCAGCCAAATGAACAAACAAACTGCTGGAAGATGGTATATTTGGGCCTGACACCTCCTAGCTGGTGACGGTGCAGTGACAGCAACAGCAGGCAATAAAATTCTGACACCCTTATTTCCTATTCACAAGACCTGTAACGTCAATTTTAACAACCATCTGCATCTACTTTTCCAACTGTGTTGTTTCAGCAAAGCTGGAAGTAGCCCAGACAATAAAGCTATTTGCAGTTCAGGAAGGGCAGGAGGAAGGTAAGCAAGCTCCCATCCTATGCTGGATCAGGTTTCCTTTGTATTCTGCAAACATTACATATTCCATATGATCCAGGTATAGAAAGTGCTTTAGAATTAACTTTAAAAGCAAGACTGCTATTTTTATTTTCAAAGAAGTCCTGACAGTGTAGCCCACAAGGCTTCACAAATTTATTTAAAAAAAAAAAAAAAAGTATTAAGACCAAATATAGTAGCTACAATCTAAGAGCAAAATAAAACACAATATGTCACCTCAAAAGTTTAAAGATCATACAAAATTGGTGATAAAGCAGTATCTTCTCTATTACAACAAGCCAGATCTATGAGAAACAACTGAGGGGCTTATGCTCCCCTCCTGCCCCTTTTGAAACTGAAGTTTTAGCTCTGATAGCTGTGGAGTGCTTCTACAAGAAATTTAATCCTAGACTGCAACAGATGATATAGAAGGACAACTGTGAAAGCAGCAAGGATTGGGACAAACAGTAAACATGTGTCATTAGGCTTCAGAGTTATCAGTTAATTTTTACTGCTATTAATTTTGTATGTAATTGTTCTGCCAGGCTTCATTTTGGAGGCAGATCATTACTGGTTATATCAGAGCAGCTGGAGAGATGAGGTAATCACAAAAAACCAAAGCAACTTCTGTATACAAGTATGTATGGAAGAGAAGCTTTTCCTCTCCTACTCCTATCAGACACCCATCTTATTCCCTACCACCTGAAAAATGCAAAACAATCTCTGTTATTCCTTAATTGCTTACAAGAAAGTCCACTCTCATCACCCATTTAAAAAAACAAACACCCCCAAACAAACAAAAAACACCCCACAAGAATACCCCACCCAACAAACCAAAACACAAAACCCTTTACCCCCTACTTTACTACTGTATTATCCAGTGCACTAAAAATTTGGATCTTAGGAAAGGAAATTTCAGAACAGTTTCTTAAAATCCATTGTTTCTACAATTACGTATTTGACTGGGGCAACAGGGGTAATAAACTGACAAGAACCTCGTTATCATATTGAGACAAAGAATTACTAAGGTTCATCATGATAACATTTCATCATTCTGATTCCAACCTTGGTTTGTTTTCCTGACTTGTACCTTTAAAAGATGGTGCTTCTCCCCTTCCAAAAGGCAGCATCTACCAGAGAATTAAGGTGATTTGCACAGAGTGAAAAGCAAAGGCCTGATGCAGGTCAGGCAGTTGCATTTATTCCCTTGACAACAAGCACCATCCCTATCCTAACTCAAGGGAATTTTATCACATTTCCCCCCCCCCATCCGCCACTCACAGACCAAAATTAGAGTCTTCTAGAATACATCCAGTCCCACTTCAGACAGAGGAGGATACGGCTCTTTTAAAAGGTGATGAGAAATTGTGATTTCGTAATACACGAAAATCAGTGCTACTGCTTAAAGGAGCAGGCTTCTGAACAGCTGGGATTTTTTAAACTTTCAAAGCAAAATTTTTTCAGTGTATGGAATATTAATGAAAAGAATGCTCTTTTCAGTAGTAAAATCCAGTCCTCGCTAGTGAAAGCTGAGAAGCAAAGGTAATTAAGAATGGTATCAGCCGTTTTTCTTGCATATAAATACCATTGTTCAAGGTGTGCTGATCCCAGCTAAGACATGATCTGTTTTCATAAAAAGTTCTAAACCAAAACCACCTTAAGGAAAAAATTAAAAAAAAAAAAAAGCTTTGGTTGGTTAACAGCCAGCTTAAAAAAAAAAAAAAAGCTTTGGTTGGTTAACAGCCAGCTTAAAAAAAAAAAAAAAGCTTTGGTTGGTTAACAGCCAGCTTAAAAAAAAAAAAAAAGCTTTGGTTGGTTAACAGCCAGCTTAAAAAAAAAAAAAAAGCTTTGGTTGGTTAACAGCCAGCTTAAAAAAAAAAAAAAAGCTTTGGTTGGTTAACAGCCAGCTTAAAAAAAAAAAAAAAGCTTTGGTTGGTTAACAGCCAGCTTAAAAAAAAAAAAAAAGCTTTGGTTGGTTAACAGCCAGCTTAAAAAAAAAAAACATACAAAAAAGAAAACCCCACAGCAATGCAAAATTTTACTAACTGCAAAAATACAGTACAAGAGACACACACACAGTGTCACACCGACATGTATTTTCCCAATGAATTATATAAAATGTAGACTTGCAATGCACGAATTCTATAAACCCAAAAGAACATCTTCTGTGGAGCAATTTAACGTTCAGAACCGCACAAAGCGATAGGCACATAAGAGCTTGCTTGTTAAAGCCAAACTGCGTCTCTTCTAGGAAATGCTTTCTGAATACATAAAGGATATTTTCATAATAAATGTCACATCTCTTCCCTCCCTCTCCTCCCCCCCCCTTTTCCTCCCCAACAACACTCCCGATTCTTTTACAAGCTGCAGCGGGTTTTAAAGGCGCTCTATCTGAACGATTCATACACACACACAATAAAAAAAGGCTTTGAAGCACAGCAAACGTTTGCCCTTATTCTATAGAAACTGTATAGCGCTAACTTGGCTCTTCCCTCCCCCCACTCAGTACCTTTCTGGGGTAGTGACTTCACATCCTTTGACATCAGCGCAGCTTGAAAGGGGGATGGGAGAGTTACGGCAGAAAGCAGTAAAACCTGCTTTTAACTATGCGTGCGATGCCTCTGCCGAGTCTTAAATCTTCCCCAAAACGCGTTTAATAGAGGAGGGGGGGTTCCATCTCCCCCCCCACCTCTCCCCCCCCGGTTTTACCGCGGAGGGAAGGAAGGGGGAAGGGAGAGGGCTACAAAGGACTTCCTGGCTCCCCGTACCCCCGCACCACAATAGCCATTTATTAGCTCGCCCGGAGGGTCGCGGCTCCCCCGCAACACGCACGACAATAATAATACTAATTAATAACTCACCTCGAATATGCAAAAGGGCCACGGGCTGGAAGGGCCCATTGGAATTGGCCGCGTCAACCACCATCCTGCTGCCAGCTCTGTTACATGTCAACATCTAGGCTCCGGCGGGCAAGGCAATGTATTCCTTAAGGCGAGAAACCAGCCTCCATTTTAGTTTAAAAAAAGACAGAAACTGAAGCGCTCTGCAGCTGGAGGGAACTGGCTGGTGAGTGATGTCAGCGGGCGGGAGGAGCCCCATTGGCTAACGGCAGCAACTTAAAAACGACAGGCAGGAGGCCGCAAATGAGCGGCGGCGGGTGCGGGGCTGTCACCGCGCCCCGCGCGCCCGACGGGCCGGGCCGGGCCCCCGCGCAACGGGAGCGGGGCAGGCCCCGGCCTGGGGAGATGACGGGCCTTTGGTGGGTTTTTTTATTTATTTGTTTATTTTTTGTTTGTTTGTTTGTTTTTTTTAATTATCTCCCCCACGGATCATATTCGCCACGCACCTGCTGGAAAAAGCGTGTGGTGTTTTTTTTTTTTCCTTCCTGACAAAGCTAAAAGCTTCATCTTTTCTTCACTAAGGCTGCCAAAAATCACCCAACGGGAGCCCAACTTAACCCTGGGAAACCCAGCGTTAAGGGCAACACGGAATCATCAAATAGTTTGGGTTGGAAGGATTTAGTGCCAATACTGCCTAATAATGTCATTGTCCTCTTGGAAAGCTTAAGGAAACTGACCGGCTAACATTAAATGTGCCATACTCTAAGTTGAAGTAATAATATTCTGTGGTGTCCTTTTCAGAAATCAAGTATTTTTCCTTCCTTACCTCACCCCACTATGTATATGCAGTCCCTCTGGGAATCATGGAATGGTTAGAGTTGGAAGGGACCTTAAAGATCATTGATTTCCAACCCCCCTGCCGTGGGCAGGGACACCTCCCACCACACCAGGTTGCTCAAAGCCCCATCCAACCTGACCTTGAACACCTCCAGGGATGGGGCATCCACAGCTTCTCTGGGCAAAAACATAGAATCATAGAATCATCTACAACTTCAGCTTTCAAGAGCCATACTAAAAGGCAGGTCACAGTAAGACAGGTCGGTGAATAATTATTAGTAGTAGTTTATAAATATAAAACCTCATAAGCATTCCTATGAAGTATTTTATGACTGGTTACTAATATGTAGATTATGAACAAAAATATATATACATAGGACATTCAGGAGATGAAAGCCTGTTTCATGCTCACCTGAATATTTCTTTTAATCTAGAAATGGGCCTATCTCAAGTTAATGTCGGTAAACTTGGATATTACAAAATTCAGGTTTTCCTTTCTAGAACATTCAGTAACTTTTTTTAGTAAGTAACTTTGTTTATTATTATTAAAAACTAAAGTATTGCAGCACTAAAAACCAGTATACAGGCATATAGAAACCGTTTTGCTGCACAATCCCAGAAATACAAAAAAAGCACAGCACGACAATTTCTAAACTTCAGTGAAATAATTCACAGTATTTGGAATGAAACTCTAAGCAATTTTCTTCATCATATGGAACTTGCACATTTATTTTTACAATGAGCTATTTGAAGGACCATTTTGTCTCTCAGGTACTGCACTTCTGGGAGTGATGTGCAGAGAAACAGGTAATGTTACACTTTGTACCATTCCCAAAATCTGGGCTTCTCCCCAAATACTATTTGCAGCAGGATGTCACCTTTAAATATTTAGATTCTAATATCTAGATGACACTGTTCTAACTTATATCTGCTCAAAAAACAAAGGAGTACTTCAAAAAAAAAAAGGAAGAAACTTTTCAATTAGGTAATTTGCTGCTAAAAAATTGGAAAAAAAAATTATAGGGCAAACGCATACCTGGTTAGAAAAATTATATTGCACTACAATGATATGCTGTCAAACGTGAGCTAGACCTGTACTGAATGTTATTGAATTGGATCAAGGGAAAACCCTAACTGGGATATAAAAAAGAGGGATATTACCCATAAGATACATGAAGAATTCAACCAGATTTACTGACTGCTGACAAGGCCCAATTTGTAGGAGTACCTCTTGGATGTCCCACTTGAAGGCTGTAAACCTGCTGAGAAAGCCCACAGATGACCAATCTAGAAAATATTACTTAGTATAAAAAAAAATCAAACTGCTCTGTTTGGTGTGATATGGGTTGAGGTTTTTTTTAGGTCAGTTGGTTGGTTCGGTTGGGATGTTTGCTTTTGGGTTTTTTTGATAGAAAGGGCTAAACTGAGAATATTATTAAGTATTTTAAAAAGTAATTAGGGAGACGGAGGGAATTAGTTTTTTCTACATTCACCACGACAGTAAATTCCTCCTACAACAAGGAAGATTAGGTTAATATTAAATGAAATCTTCTCACAATAAGCATAGTGAAACAAAGTAAGAGACTGCAAACTTATAATTTAAGAATTAATCTAATAATTCTAAATATGGGCAAACATAATGAGTCATATAAATGTAGTTGATCCCGCTTTTTGAGAAGAACATTAAAATGGACTATATGAACTCCTGATGCCTTTTAAAACCTTTCCCCTAACACTACAGAGATTCAAATAATTTGTCTTTCCAGTACAGGCAAAAACAGGGGAGGTCTATCTCGAAAATGTCAGGTTTTATATCCTTGTATCTCTTGGGTATACCCTAAATGTAGAGTTTTAGTCTTATAAAACAAATAGCTACCACAGAGATATGCCTTTAACTAAACTAGATTTAAAAACAAAACCAAGACTGACCTCAAAGAAAGTTTTCTACCAGAGCTTGATGGATACAAGAAAACTGAAAAACAACTCAGATCATTTTTTGCAATGTTTTCATATGCAAAATTTTGTAGTAAATTCCTTTTCTTTTCACCATCTAAAGCACAATTAGACTGTTCTATAGTGATAAGCCACAGTATGAAGCAGCAAAAATTAGGTTTAAAATTCCAGTTTATCAGGCAACCACATCTTGAAAAGGCAGCTGCTCTATCTCTCCTCCTCCCTACTCGTGTCTTTGCTTTAATGGTCAAGTGCTGCTTCTTTCTCTTTGAAACTCCCTGCAAAGATTAAAATGGGTATGAAGACTGCTGGTACAACAGCACCCAACTTAACTACACTCCTGGAATGCAACAGAGCAAAAAGGGACTGTTACTTTAGTTACAGTGCCATTTCCTATTTTAAATATAAGCATGGGTTGAATAGCTGGAGGTTCATTTAGGTTATTTCAGCAAATTTAAGAGTCAACACCCCTACACTGTTCTTCAGTAAAGAGAGGAAATGTGACATCTGCAGCCCTAGCAGTAGTATTGGCAGAACACTACGTCACATTGAAGAAAGTTTTCCTTTGCAAGATGCACATGTCCAGTTCACTTCTCCCTCTTGCAGGGCTGTTAATCTGAGGCCAGTACTTAGTAAACTACCATGAAAGTGGTTCAAACAGCCATAATTCAGTATATTTCTGGTGTGCTTCTTACAGGACACTACTGGAGCTGAAGAACTCCAATCTTTGTAAGACCTGTTGCTCATTAACAAAATGTGGTATCTTCTCACCAGTGGTACAGATTGAGAAGTACATTCTGCCCAGGTGTGTATACCCTCCCTTTGCTTCAGCCTTAAAATATTTGATTTGACACCAAAGGAAAATATTTACTGAAGTTGAATTATTTCGTGCACCTTCATTTGGGAAAAAAAATTGCAAAGAAAATCAAGTTAGGAATGGGCAGAGAAAGAATATTACAGCAAGTGGAATGGAGCTAATGAATATCAATGGGAGAAGGAAGATGTTATTTGAACATATTTATGAGGACACTTCAGTTGCAAGAGAATCAAAAACCATATTAACTTCGGCTACCCATTTTTAGAATTAAATGAGTGAAAAAACCATATTGACAGTACAGCAAAACTGTAGCTATTACAGCTTTCCTCTGAACCCTGCTCATCACTTCTAACTTCCTGATGATGGGAATGAAGGAAAATCCTGTAAAATTCTCAGGATATAATTAAATGTGTTACATTTAGAATCCAGCGCTCTTTACACTGGGAGGCTGGATAGTATTTCTTTCAAAACAAATACTCCGTTTGGGTTGTGATTTAAAAAAACAACCAACCCTACTCACCTCCACAACAAATTCACCTGCCCAAAGACTGCCTTTATTTCCATTCTGAACTAACTGTTATTGTGACAGTGACAGAATCAATAACATACAAGGTAATTTAAATTGGATAAACTTCTATTTACATGAAGACACCTCGGTCAAAGTTGGTAACCTGAGGGGATTTCCTTTTTGGATTGAGAGAGGAGGGGGCTATTTAGTCTGAACTCTAAGGTAACTAAAGTCTTAATTCCACAACTGCTGAAGTTGTTATTCCTCAGTGACCTAAGCCAGCCCATTGCAGGCTGCTTCAGCCCCCATCCTGCATTCCCCTCTGCTCTATTTTGCTCCCATCTGCTTCAGTGGTCATCAGACCCACAGCTGAGTTGGTTTAGTCCAACAACCGAACAGAAATCCAACAGAAAGCCACTTAACTTTAGTGTCACGTTGGTTTTCTGTTAACTTGTATTCCATGGCAGCCTAAGTTGAGCTAAGTCTGTATGAGCCACTGCTGCAGTCCCACCTCTGCTGAGCCACACATGGGCAACTGTCCGAAACCGCTGTACAAGGTGCATGGCTGAACCCGATTAGGAAACTGAGCAGAGTTGAAATCAGAAGGAAAAACCTGAGTTTAAGCCACGTTGATTCCATTATCCGGTTCACCAGACCGGCACCCAAAAAAGGGATGGGAGCAAACATGACTTGCTTTTGCTGGCAGGACCAATGTAGTTTGCTTTTTGCCCTCCAATCACAGCCTAAGCAAAACTTACCACTTGCACAAATGATGTCAGGCTACTGAAAACAAGGGTCTCTTCACAGCCCTGAACAATGAGTTACTCGAGGACAATAACTTTGTTTTAGGGGAGAAAAGGCACTGGATACTACACATTCTGGAGGAGAAACCACAGCAATAGAAAGGATACTGGGCTTCTCCTACAAGGTGCTGACTCAATTCCAAGCAACAGCCAAGAGGAAATTCTTCAAGGAAATAGAAACAGTAAACACCATGTTAATACCTAGCTATCAAAGGAAATACACAGAT